GTCAAAAGTCAAGCAAAAATTGGACTGATATTGGGCACTATTTCAAGCACAATTTTTTGAGACGTAAATTGTACCTATAGCTCGTTCGATATTCGCGCACTGAGGTGAGTATGCTGGGCGTAGAACCTACGCCCAGCATACTCACTGAACGAAGCCTATAACTCCGAAGTTATTCGAGCACTGTTTTTTCTTTTTGGGCACCGTTTGGCACTATTTGGGAACTATTTTTTGAAGTATGAATTATGTTTGAAGCGTATACAGATTCTCCGGACGGAGGTGAGTATGCTGGGCGAAACCTTCGTCCAGCATACTCATCGAACTATGGCTATAACTTCGCAAGTACAAGAGCACTATTTTTTTCCTTTGGGCACTATTTAGCACTATTTCAGAACAGTTTTTTGACATTCATGAAATATCAGGATTCCATGGTGAGTATGCTGGACGAAGGGACACCACAGAATGTACCGAGTTACAGAACTTTTAGGCGAAGTTTTTTGTATCATTAATAAAGATAATGGGTACAAGGAAAAGTAAATATAATACATTAATAATACGAGAAACCTCATAGAATCGTACCTATACTTAGCTGGGAACCTACATACATACATACATAACATCACGCCCCGAAGGGGCGAATTCCCGAAGGGGTAGGCATACGTGCTCATTATACCACTGTACCTACTTACAATGTAACACCCACTTTTCAGTACCTATTTATATTATGAGTCCCATTTATATTATGAGTCCCATGTAATAAGGGGTGAGCCAATTGCCATATCTGGGAACCTACAGTAGGTAGGTAAATGGTAAAACCGTGTTTAAGCAACATATATTCTATAAAATACTGCATTTATTTATAACACAAACATGTTTAGGTATACGCTACCTGTAAGCTGATATGACGATGCCTCTAATACGAAGCAGAATCATGATCAGTCCAAGGTATACACCAACGTACATGACTATGTAAAAAAAGACGAGCATGCGGAATATACCCATGCTTCGTCGGGACTGCACATTTTCCGCTTTCCCATATTTATTTTGTGGTGCACGCATTTAAAATTTAAAACGTTATCTTTCCATTTTTTATTTCTTATTTTTTATTGATTTCTTGTTTACAATTTACAATACCTATTCATTTTTTGGTTGCGAAGATCGTTTTGATATGTTTTGAATTTGAATGACAGTAGTTTGATTGCAAAGAGATAGGTGGGTATTTGATTGTAAAGTTTTGTTCGAAAACGTTTAAAACTGCCACGCCTTGCTCTTGTCATTACCTATTAATTCGTTTAGAAATAAGGAGTGCGTATCTAAAAAAGGTGAGTCGTTTGCCTTCTATTTTGTAAAAAAAAGTACAGTCTAAGATGGGGTAGACGTGTTCCACCGTAGGCCACATCATTGTTTACCACCAAGCGAGATAGTGGCTAACTTGGCCAAACGTTAACCCATCACAGTCATATAAAAAAAAGAGTTTATTGCAACCAAGCAACGGTCGCCTGGAATTTATTCATCATTTTTCAGGAATGTGGATACATGGCTTTTAAGACAACGGCATAAAATAAATACTGGGCACATTGACAGCAGCTTATCAGCGGTTTTATCAGAAACGTCCGCATGCGTGACACTGACAATACTGACATTGACATTGGTAAGAATTTAGAAGGATTAGGATAGGACGTTTTTGAGAAGAAAAATATAATTAAATTAAACGGAGTATTAAAAATATTGTAAGTATTCAATTTGAACACTGGTTGTTCAGTTATTAATAGATTTATATAATATCAATTTAATAACTTTGTTATACTGGACACAAAATCCATACGTAATTATTATTGTAAATGAATTTTAGCATATTGTGCGTACCGATTCTTGATTTGCTTTAAATAAATGGTTAACCTTGTAATAAAATTCTAGCCATCGTGACCAATATTCGTTTGTTAATTAACCTAGTTGTTTTATAAACAATTAATGATTGATTGCAGTTATAAATTATTCAAATATGGCTTTAAATGTATTATCTGCCAGTGACCTTACTGTTATACAACGTTTAATATAATATAGGCTGAAAATGTCCTCACATTTATAATTGTAGCAAGGTCCCCTTGCTGGGAAGTAATGTTGATTCAGAATCTTTTGACAAGGTCAAATCAATAATAGTTACATTTCCTTATCAAATGTCAATATATTTTTATAACTACTTTTAGTTCAGCAATAATTGCTACAATCGCTGAAATAAACATGCTGTATAGGAAGTTATTAAAAAAATATTTAAAGTTCTTATAAATTCATAATAATAAATCTGGTTTTTTTGCTTTCTTTGCATTTCATAGTTTCCTCCTATTCTAGGAGACCCACTGAACCCATAACATGTGTAATGCAGAATCTTGGAACTGAATTTTGAAGCAAATATCTTCAACCGATTGAACTGTAATAATGCATACACATTTAGTTTGCATGACCAAAAAAGTTTTTAACATAAATTTTATTCTACTTCAATCTTGCATAATTTTAACTGTACTTTCACCCTCTAATCTAAGGCCTGTATAGTGCATATAGATAAATTTTTACAACATATTGTCACAATAATTTGATAAAATCGGTACCAAGATTTGTCCTGAAGTTGTTATTTAAGTACTAACTACTTTATTTCTAGACTTTTTTATAGATTGACTTTTTTTCTGTCAATCTTGTCTTTTTATCTAATCTTTAAGAAATAAAATTTTCTTTACATCAGTATACACTCAATAGCCACCGAAACTAAAATTATGTTATGACAGTAGTTTTGGATAAATATGTTAGTTTAAAATATTTTTTAATTGTGGTTTCAGGCAGTGATATGTAACATCTTCATTTGTGGTTACCATAAATTTATTTTTCTTTTATTTTACAGTCAAAATGAGCCTTATTGGAAAGCTTGTGCAGCAGCTGAAAAGCAAAGAGTTTAGACAGTATTTAATGAGGTGAGTTAAAATATAGTTACAGTAATATTCAATAGATTGATTGATCATTGCAGTACTTTTTAAATTATCAGTAAACTAGCTTTTACTCGCTGCTTCGCTCACATCACAAAAGGATAAAAAGTAGCCTATGTGACATATACCAATACACACAGCGCCATCTGTACCAATACTTTTTTCCCCTCGGGAATATCAAATATTTCCGGGATAAAAAGTACCCTATTATTTAATCTGGACTTCTAACTTTAAGTCTGCAAAAATTCAAAGCAATCGGTTTAGTAGTTATGGCGTGAAAGCGGAACAAACAAACTCACTTTCCGATGTATAATATTAAGTAAAGATACAAACAAACATATCCACTGATTATATTTATTATGGCTTATTATAAACTGCTAATAGCCATGCTTCATTTTGCAGCATCACTGCTAAGTACTATCCATGAGAAAAGATGCTGAATAACATATCCTACAAAGTAGTTTGTCGTACTATTGTTTAACAACAATGCTATCTATGCTAATATACCTAAGTCTTATTATCCTACTATATCTTTATTAGGTACTATTTCGGTATGTGTTTTATTGCACTTCTTTATTTCATTGCATAGGTAATTTTTATTTTATTGAATTATTTATTTTTTGGAACAATCAAATTGTTGCAAAATAGAAAATGCAATAAATTAAACTAAAATTAATTTTTAGTCTTGTAAAATAAATATACTGAGATAAGCTTTACTAGTTTGAAGTCACAGAGGAGATTTCTTCAGTTTATGTATGTGTGTAACGATCTCACAATAGTTATTATAAATAAGTTTATGTAATGCAATGCTACATTTTTTTATGGCATAAGCCGGTAAACGAGCAGACGGATTACCTGATGGTACCTAAGCAATCGGCGTCGCCCATGTACACCTGGAATGTCAGAGGCGTTACAACTGCGTTACCGGCCTTTTGGGAATTTTGGGGATTAGGAGTTTGAGGATTGTTGCCATTGTTGGAGATTCATGGATTATAGAGATTGGGGTTTTAAATAACTTGTTTTAATTTTCAGCACCCATTTTTGGGGTCCAGTAGCCAATTGGGGTATACCATTAGCCGCGATAGCAGATACACAGAAAGACCCTGCCATTATCAGTGGAAAAATGACATTAGGTAAGTAAAAATATTTTTAATATAAAATAAAAACATGTTATAAAATGACATGCTCGCGCTACGACCAATAGCAGCCGAGCAGGGGGTGAAATTGCGCGGGCGTAGCTATTTTATGTATAAAAAATGCAAAAGTGTATTTGTCATTTTAGCATCACAATAAAGCTATTTTGAATTATTTATTATGAATTAGTTTATTAACCGACTTCAAAAAAGGAGTATGATCTCAATTCGACCTGTATAAGAATTGAGAACCTACTATTTTGTGCTTTTTTCATTAGAACTACGTACTAGTTTATTTGTGTAACAACATTTTTTACGTCAATAGTTAAATTATTACAACATCGTGTCATTTACATAATCAAATAGATAAAGTAGGTATATGTGTGTACAAAGTAATGACATGTGATGACTATGGTAATGTGAACTTTATTATCAGCCTATGTGAGATAGTAAGTATAATAATATCAAGTTAAATACGAAGTTACCTTTATCAAATACAACATTATATCGCATGTCTCACTCCATATACCATTTACGAATTACACAGGTTCTCAATTAAGGTTATTTATCGCATATTATACTTATTGTGAATTGTATAGTGAACCTGATTGAAGAAGAGTAACCTATGGAGTTTCTTGCTTGTTCTTCTCCATAGGTATCTACACTTTGGAGTGAGCAAATAGCTTCAATATCAATAGAGGACTGACCGACAGACACTTAAATCTTTTGTTTGACGTTCAAGAATGTCTTCCCGGTCTATTTGCAATAGATGATTTTGACTTGAATATGTTTTTCATATACTAATCTACACTGTACCTAATAAGTATCGTCAGCCAAGTGTCATTTGGTATGCAGGAAACAATATAAAGATGCCTAGCGAGACAGACATGATTGAATTGAATTTTTTCAAATGTTAAATTAGCTTCAGCATTAGGGGGGCAGAGAAACTCTGCCACTGCCGTAGTCACTAGTTTTACTTTTTCATTTCTTGATAAATAATTTCCGATAGTTTTTTGTTGTGTCGTCGTCGAGTGGTCGCAAGGGGTTTCGGGTTCGATTCCCAGGTTAGGCAAAGTATTACTAGGTATTTTAAAAAGTCTCAGTAGTAGCACGGAGTCTACTAGTAGGAGTGGTCGTGGTGGCCCGGAGGTTTAAGACGCCCGCTTCTCATGCATGAGGGTGCGGGTTCGAAACCTACCAACGGCAACTTTTTCAGAGTTATATGTACTTTCTAAGATTATCTAGACACCACTGACAAACGGTGAAGGAAAACATCGTGAGGAAACCTGGGCTTATAATTTCTAATTATAAGTTTGTAATCGCCAACCCGCATTGAGCAAGCGTGGTGATTAATGCTCAAACCTTCTCCTTGTGAGGCTTTGCTCAGCAGTGGGCATTTATAGGCTGTTGATATAGCACGGAGTCTGGAATTGTGCCAGATATATGGTAATAAGCTCACCCCCTATTACATAGGACTCATAATATAAATAATGAAAAGTGGGTGTTACATTATGCAGTGGTATAGTGTGCACCTCTGCCTACCCCTTCGGGGATAAAAGGCACGCGTTTTATCCATATGTTATATTATATGTTATGATGTTATGTAATGTTTATTGTTGGTTGAAGTGTTTTATTAATTGGTAACGTATGTCGTATACTACCTCTATAGTTATGTACCTTTAAAGTGAGAGCATTTTGTTATAAAAGGAATATTTTTTTTTAATTATAGAGGGTTCAATGAAATGAAAGAATAAACTAGTGGCTCTGTTCCTTTGCACCTAAGTGTGTAAAATTTAAATGATAATAGTGATAGACAACCTTGACAAAGAAAAATGATAGATGAGCCACCTAATCAACTAATCACTCCAATAAAATGATTAGGTAAAAATATAATCGTGAATGTAGTTTGATCTAGTCTGGATGTGTTATCACGGCAGTTCAGTAAAGTTGATCTTATCACAAGCATGTACCGTCTTATCTCCAACCTTGTACATGTCTACCGCTATGAAGCACGAGTATTTTTTATTTGGAAATAAAGTAAATAGAGCTATAACTTATTATTGTACTTACTTAAAATGACTTGACAATTTGACTCAATTTTTCATTGTCTCATCTATGTCGTTTTGTAGAAAAAAAAATACGGTAGATTGGTAGGTAACCAAGTAATTGCACCAACCTTCAAGAAAAGAGCGTATTCTTTTTTAAAAGGCCGGCAATGCCGCTGTGACTCCTCTGGTGTTGCGGGTGTCCATGGGCGGCGCTGATCACTTACCATCAGGTGATCCGTCTGCTCGTTTGCCTCCTATTCCATAAAAAAAAACCATACTCTGTTTCTGTTACTCCAATGATAGACTGGGACAGAATGCCTTAGGCATTAATTTCTTCAAAGTACCTACGTTTCTGTGCTGGGTCTTTGATCGCGTTGATCCCTAAAACTACCGTCTCCAATGTAAAAAAATATAGTGTGTATGATAGTCCATTTATCGAGGATAAACATACGACATACAGCATCACGCTACGCACAATAAGAGCCTAACAGCAGATGTAACTAGTACAATAATGTAATATTATTCTCGTTCCAGCCTTATCCATATACTCGTTGATGTTCATGAGATTCGCGTGGCGTGTGCAGCCGCGTAACTTGTTGCTGTTTGCCTGCCATCTCACTAACGAAGCCGCACAGTTGACACAACTCGCACGATTCGTCAACCACCACTACATATCGAAAGGACCCGAGCAGAAAACCAAATAAATTCTGCAATGATACAGATTGGAACATCGCTGACAGTAAGTGCCTTAAATATTGCAGGCAAATTGTCTTTAAAAGATTCATTTGTCCAATGAGGGTTTTCGATTATCAACCGACTTAAAAAAGGATGTCAGATTTTTCCCTTTTTGTCACCATTGGCGCTAGTGTCGCTTTAGGCCACTCAACTTAGCTGTTAATAGTGGACTGTGAGTTTGAGCAAAGTACTATGAGGTTAATACCTGATGTTATTGTATCAATTCAATAACCCTGTGAATTCTATTGGTTAAAAGACCACTCCAGTGCCTTTCGCGACACGAACCCTCAGTACATCAGCTAACTGACTTGACTAAATTACCGAGAGTTGATAAAACTATGTCAAATTAGTCTCCAATGTTTAAGGTATTTACACAATAGATGGCGTTGTTTAATATTCTGCTAGTTGAAGTTAAATATTTTTACCGCCCTTTTTTGTTTAAGGTTCTAAATGATCAATTTTGGGTTTGGGGATCATCTTAATGTTCTCTTAAAACAATATAGCGGTACAGATATTTGACATAGTAAAATTTTATTTAGATTTGGGTCTTGGCGAACTGTTAAAGATGGTAATTTATTCCTTGCATGCATCGAATAGAATTGAAAGGTACTAAAGGTACGTTGATATTTTATTGTTAAACGAAACTGCCCTCACTACACATCTATTTTAATGTAAGAATATAAAGTTAGTTTACTAACTTAGGTAGTATACTTTGTTAAAGCCTCAATGGCCGTTATAGGAAAAAAAATGTATTTTCGAAATTGAATTACATGTAAATAGTAAATAGTGAGCAAATGAAATCGCCCCCTTTTTTAACATGTAAAAATTAACCTACTATTAACATCATAAACAACCTTTTGATCCATTAATAAAACTTTACATTTGGTTCAATTACAATTTCATACAAAAATAAACGATTTGTTTACCTGAACAAGTCCTGGATATCCACAAAAAGTTCTGGCTCAGATACGACGACTTTTCCATCCAACGAGGTCACCTTCAGTTTGAATAGACAACTTCGACCTTCATTGAAACATTTTTTCCTTATAACGGCACTAGAGGACACATACATAGTGTAATTTATTATTCAAATATCTAGTTGTTATATAAATTTTAAGTAGAAATTGAGAGTTACTGGTGAAATGTAACGCTTTTGAAGCATTGTTATTATCTATGTAATTGTATATTATGTAAAGTAGAAATCATGTTTAACAACGTATTGTAATTTTTTGCCTTACGTAGGGATTTTTAAGAGCCTTTTTTCTGTAACAGGGATTTATGCAAGATCATATAGTTATGGCCTGTACGTTTAACTTTTTTTAAATGAGAATGCTGTAAAAATTTTTAGTACTGGCCTGAGATCCATAGACATTTATACAACTGTATAAAAAAAGGTTCTATTTAGGTAAAATTTGTGATATTTAGCGCACATTTCACATTTACGGGTTGCAAAAAATAAAGTTTAAGAAAGTAATGTTTATCCTAAAGTGGACGTTTTCCAGCTGAATTTTAAATATAGCAAAAATTATATTTAACTTTGTAAATAAATATCTTTATAGTAATGTTTCTACTAGAATGCAAACAACTAACAAGAAATAATTTTAATTGTGTCAAATAGAACAATAGTTAGCTCAATCGTTTTACCTTGAAATCATTAATAGTAAAGTAGTGTTTAGAATAATAACGCATATATTTTGAATAAAAATTAATGGGGGATCTCCGATTATATTCGTTGGGTTAGTGATACCTATGTATAAAAGGCGATATGCCTATGTATAAATGTTATTGATCGTGGAATTAAGAATTGTATTTATCTCCGAACGATTTTAAAGCATCGATAAACTTACTGTGTTGAAAGTTGAAACATGTAATACGTCTTTTTGATAAAGTTGCAGATATTTTTGTACCATATTTCTGTTCAATGATAAATATTTTTGTCAATTGATTTAGTGCCTTTTTTCTATTTCGTTTTTTAAGCTGCTTGAGAATGTTTTATCTATGTGTTTTACCACGCGAGGTTGTTGCTTGAGATGGATCTGACAGAGAGCCTTGGAAGGTAAGGTTAAGAGTAGGAGATAATATTGTAACTGGATATTCATTGTCTGTTGCTTCGATAATGGGAATATATTATGGGAAAGCTGCGAAGTTATTTTTTAGAAGCAGGGTCTATCCAACGTTATGGTATGAAGTTATGAAATTGTATGACAGTATGTATCTGAAAATGTGATACCAAGGGGTATAGGGATATAGGGTAAAGGCTGGCGTACGCACATGCCTGTAAAAATAAACCCTATCACTATACATATACGGCTTCAACTACTGCAAAGGTACATATAATTTTTTAACATGTGATTGTTAAATTAATCCTTTGGGTTCGTCAGCCCTGTGTAGTATAAGTACGAGTATGTTGTACAAAATATATATTTATAATGTGAAGTTATATTAAAACAAGGGTATATTATATTTTTTTAAATATTTATTGTAAATTGTATTCTGATGATTACACTTGTTGATCTGTTATTGACGTTTTATTTTTTATCATAAGTTACATATATATATGTATATATAGTTCTATGCAATATTGAGGTAATTTGTCTATGACGAAAAGTATTGGTTTGTTAAGAAAAAGTATGTTGGCCTACTGATTACAATAAATCATAGAACAAATAATGGTTTTTTAAATTACAAGGTCCAGTTGTTAAGTACGGTCAAACTAATCATTTGATCTTCTTATTACTTACTAAATTATGTGCCTAAAACACAAGACAAGACATTTTTTTATTTTTTTTGTGGAGAACGGACTAAAAAAATCAGTGGATCACATGATGTCCCATGGACGGAAACCCCGAGCACCGGAGGGCGGAGGCATGACAATTTCATAGTAGGTACATACCATTACAAGTGTGACTGAATTACAGAATAATATCTTTGTTTATATGAAAATAATTTCCTTTCAGTGTACTCTTCATATAAACAAAGACTGCTCTACTTCAGTCACGTTGCTCGTACAGTAATGAATAAAGTTCCGTGTCTCCAATAAACGTGTAACTAGGAATAACGACTACACTTCCCATTATCTAAAACAACATCTAAACAAACTTGTAATAAAGTTATAATGATAACAAAATGTAGGTAGGTACTGCGTCAATGTCATATAGTACACACGGCTACGCATCAAGCTTTACATAACCAGTATAAACTGAACGTTAAATGTGCGGAAAGATGATGCGACGTGACACCAGGATAAACTGGTTTTGTATAGATTGATGTGTGACCGTGTGTATATACGTCGAAAGACGTTCGTGATGATACATAGTTGGTCAGAGACATTTGATCGTTGAAAGATTCTTTATATCACTGCTCTAGTTGTATTGGATTAATCGTTATTTTTAACCGCTAATGGATGATAAGGTGAATGACCTCAGACAGGATTTTAAGTACAATTCCTAATCAGGTAAGGCTTATTAGCAGTCTCTGTACTGACGGCTGAGGTACATACTCGAGAAGGGGAACACAGTATGCAGTTGGATCACATCTCAAATTGTTTAGAAGACCGCGGGAAGCGCGCGAAGAAGCGGGCTATCCGAGCAATATATAACTTACGCCGTTGCGAATCGCTAAGAGAATTGTTTAAAACGATAAATATCTTAACGGTGCCCTGTCAATACATATATGAAAATATAATGTATGTAAGAAAGAATAGGCAATTATTCGAAAAAAGAAGCGATAGACACAATCTTAATACTAGAGGCAAGAATAAACTTATTCTTGCCTTGTCTGAATTGCAGTACAGCTAACTAGCTGTACTGCAATTCAGACTGTCCAAGGTACAGAAATCCTTTATGGGGTTAGGTATTAAATGCTAAAATAAAATACCAAATAGCATACTAGATCTCAATGAAAGTAAATTTAAAACATATATTAAGCGCGAATTATGTAAACAAGCTTACTACAGGGTGATTGATTATCTTGAGGATAGGAATGCTTGGCAGCGTGTTGGTTCGGCTCTACTGGACAATACTCAAATTTAGTCAGTACCTAGTTCAGATTACGATAATAGGTATTTAATACTTTGATTCCGATGAAGGCAATCTATTTTTCTTGTGGCATCGAGCATTTCTTTCTTTATTTAAACAAGAGTTTATTTTTTTTTCTTGTATAGAAGCACTATTTTATATGGATTGTCAGTATACATATGTGAGGACCATGTCAGACTTAAGATATTTGTTTTCTCTTGGTTTTGTTTTTTTTTTCTATTTTAGTATGTTCTGTTATTTGTATGTTGCGTCAGGTATGTCTTTACATTATTCTCATATGTGTGTACAATATTGGAATATGTATCAGAGCAATGTAAAACAGACTTTTTTTAAAAGAGTAACGAATGGAGTTTCTTGCTCTTTCTTCTCCACTCGAATCGACATTTTGGAACGAGCGCCTAGCTTCACTGACGGACAGACTGACAGACTATTATTTATTTCATATTTGTTGACGTTTCAAAAGTACCAAAATATGGTTTAATTGAAATAAATGCTTTTGAGTTTGAGTTTGAGTTTGACCTAGGTTACAACAAGGCTAATGCGAGTTAGGGCTGGAATTAGTACCTAAACATATGGAAGATTACGGTTATTCGAAGGCTATTAGTTCGATGATCTTTGGTAAGGTCACCCTAAAATAGATGCGTTGAGTGGTGGCTCAAAACTTCAACTTCGCTTTTTGAGAAGAAGAGGTGAAGATCAAGAATGAAAGTGATTGACTATAGGGACTCCCTAAAAAGAAGCTGACTGTTTAATACTTATCTAAGTATCGTATTATTATCTTCTGTAGTATAAAAATGAATCATTGAATGTGTTGCTAAGCACAAATCTTGAGAAAAAACTGATTTCCACTAATTCTTTTTGTGTCGGGTTTGTTAGGTACAGTTAGGAGAAAGTTCTTATGTAAGGAAAATATAACAAAGATGTACAGAAAGTTTTCCAAGTCGAAACAAAATTCTCGGGGTCCGCTAGTATTCAATACAAAAAGCCTTAACGTAACTCACAATTATTATCTGTATAATAGTATAATACAATAGCTTTTAATTGTTCACTAAAATCATATTAAAGGTATCAAGGGATAAGACTGAAGTTATCTAAATGAAACTAGGTGAAACTACTTACCCATTTCTTATGCAAACAGTCCTCATATAAGGTAGTGTGTGTGTCTACCACCGGCAACGTTTACGTAGCACAATGGCCGGCGTTTAGAACCGGTAACAATGACGGCCGCCGTCATTGTCTACCGCAAGTGTGAATGCGACCACAGTCTATTTCAGGTCGCGCTCTCACTTACTGTGATGAAGTGAACTGAATGCAAATACCAAGCTTTGTTTTCGAAACCTTGGCTGATGTTTATATTTAGATAGATGTAGAGGGTGGTGCAAGTTTTATGATACTCAGTTTTTGGCGGAGTTCTTAACTCGTCGAGTACCGGTTTTGTAGACACAATTATAGAACAATAGGTTGCGGTCACCGGTGACCGCTTGGTGTTTGACAGTTTAAAACATTAACGAGTTTTTCTAAAGGTGGGTTCCATTTCATACCATTTCATAAATCCTATGTCAGTTCTTAGTCAATCGAAGCACGGCAGTCCTGAATTATTGTTAGACTCAGTTCGATTGCTCAGTTCACATTAGGATTGTCAGTGACACTACTAAAGAAGTGGATGTGGATACCTGCTTCTTTTGAGGGGGTATCCAATGACTTCTCTCGCCTGGGTGAGGCGAGAAGGAGTGTCAGACTCTTACTGACTAAAAACCACCCCGTTCCTACTCCTCCATTTCGAGCCGGAGCCCCGGCAACCCGTTAAATTCTTCGCGGCTCCGTATCAGCATCAGCCCTATTGGGCCCCATCTGTGGTGGTCTGATGGCTCCTTGAGGCGCGCTTGGAACGCGTCGCGCCGTACTCTTGCGTCTGGCTTTGGTCGGGCGGCGAGTTATCCGTGCTGGCGGTCCCCTTGTACCATCTCTGTCTCTCTTAGGTAACATCTTCACAAACTTATGTAATCGGTTGGAAACAAAAAGGACGAAAATATTCTTGCTGATGATTTTGCATCAAATAGGTACCATGGTACCAATACCTAATTCTAAATCCTATTAGGCAGTGTAGTTAAATGTTTGGTTAATTCACTCACGTGTCGTTCCAACAATTAATTAGTGCACGTTAGATTTGTACACAAAACCACTAATTCAGCTCACTCACTGATCGCGGGTTTGTGCTGTCAACTAGTTTCACGTTTACTGTTTTTGATTTTTATTTTATTGTGGCTCCATTCCTGTGTAATGGGAGCATTTACAAACATACAAATTTACATAATTATGTATACACCAAGATCCGATGCAATAATTTGTGGATCACACAAAGATTGCTCCATGCATGAATTGAACCCGCGACATAGAGTAGGTAGGTAGGTACTGTAACCAGACGCGACAAATCCTCATTTTAAAACCGGTCATAGAATGTCTCATTCACATCCTTGAGGGAGGAAATAATGTTAGAACATCTGCAAACTGTCAGAAGGCATCTGTCGATTAAATATTAACTTCTAACATAATGTCTCCATAACTTAGTATTTTGAAATGTGAAACAAGGCTATGACAAGATTGATGGACGTAATTAATTTTTGATGATCAGGACAGTTACGATAGAAGATAATTATTTATTTGTTTATGTATTTATTTATTTTAATTCGGGTAACCAACACCTATATTACAAAGAATAAAATTTCAGGATATGCTAATACAAAGCCAATTTTTGGTTTCCACGGCTAGCCACAGTACCTATATCTTTACCTATAGAGGTTTCGCGAATGCAATGCATATAAAAGTAGAAAACAAGGATATTCATTAAAAAAATGTAAGGTTTTGTCGCTTAGTTTATTATGACAGTTCTATCGCACTACGGCAGTTATTTTTCTATATTGTGCATCATTAGGCATCATAACGTCACGCCTTTTAATTCCAGAGGGCCTAGTACGAGTTAGGTTTTGCGGTTGACTAGATCGAATCGTTACCGCTTTTAGCCTTCTGATTGGTTGGCTTATTGGCGCTGGCCAATCAGAGCGCTGAACGTGGTATCATTTCGATCTAGCCTTCTACAGCCCTCTTAATGGGTAGGCATTGGAGCACACCTGGGTACAATTTAGGTACCATTCACTATTCACCAGTTGTGTTCAGAGTGTATGGTACCCTTTTTTCTCCAAGCGGTCACCGGCGAACGCTGTCCACTAACTACATTGTAGACCTTATTTCCGACTACTTTTGTATGAACGGGGGTACTTTTGGGTACGATATTTCATATACCTAGTGATGTATGTGGGTTGTTAGTTTTCTAAGTACATACAAGATTTCGCTTGCTTTCACAGTTCTTAATATGGACTAACAGTTGTCAACAAAAACCTCAAAGAATTTGTACCTACATTGCAGACTTAAACTTCATTCCGCTGAACAAAGGCCAACCTCCACTATTTTTATTTACAAACAA